CCAGCCCTCGGCAGCCCGCCGTGCTCCTTCCGCCCCGGGCTGCAGACATCAGCGCTCCACGCAGGGATCCTCTCCACATTACGCAGATACAAAGCCTGGATGTAGAGCGGACCAGTGGCCTGCAGATAAAGATAAATAACGGTAAGGTTGAACAAGCGTTTGTTTCCTTTACGTTTTTGTGGATTTGCAATCAGTGTAAGCGTTTTGGTCTGTGGATGCAGTCCAGATCACCCAGACATAAACCAGCGCAGAGTTAAAGCCAGGACGTGAGGAGGACAAAGGGACGGATGGAGCACTAGGTTGTTATTAGTGTAAAAAGCAAAGTAACAGCAGAAACACCATTCCTTGCACAGCAGCCACGTTAAATAACCATACCGTGGTAGCTGTTTTTACATTTATGACTGTCTTCAGATGTCTAGCACAGTGTTTCCTACAGCTGTGTGGACTGGTTCTATACAGTTCACGTGTGACATTGGTTTATTCTAGCAGCTATGTACCTCCTTTATCCCACAGCCTGCTGTGAACTGTAGGTCTACGTGGGTTAGTCACTTCTCTGCTGTCCTTGGTTCTCTGTTTAATAGCAGGCCACAGTATCACAATCTTACAAGACATTCATCAGTCACACTTAAATCTCCCTGTCACCCAATCAGACCAGATCCCCTCTTTATTCCACCAACAGCATTGCTTGTCACATCACTGGGAGGGAGTTTCTGCCCAGTGTCCTCATGTGAACTGGTTCCTTAAGGAGCTATTGTGACTTTGTAAAAGTGTGGGTATGGAATTGCAACAGCACACATTTCCAAGGACCTTATGTGTGACCTCATGTCTTATTGAAACCGGAAGTTGCTTTCAAAGCATCAAGTGCAACATGCAAGTTCACAACATTTATATCACATACATATAACATATGCTAACTGTTATTTTCAGTCTTGATTAAATTGTTGATGATTTTCTCTTTGTAAATAATCCATGTTATTGTTTTCTGCATCAACAGTCCAAAATTCAGAGACATTCAGCTCATAAATAATCCATGTTATTGTTTTCTGCATGAACAGCCCAAAATTCAGAGACATTCAGTTCACTATCATGCATGACAAGCAAAGTATGTTTGGGATTTTGCTTACAAAATGTCTAAAATGATCATTTGATTATCAAATTAAATGCAGACTGTCAACAGACTCATTGTTGCAGCTCCAAACATGTACTGTCAACAGACTCATTGTTGCAGCTCTAAACATGTTATTCCCCAGGAAAGCATTTGTCAAGATGTACTAAATGCAATTGAGAACTTTGAATTTTGCAACTTTCCATCCTCACATTTCCCATTAAACACATTTATATCTCTGTCTTTTCCTAGACGTGTTAACAACATGGTCCATCGCTCTGCTGTGTGTGTCAGTGCAGGTTGTGCTGCAGGAGGAGATTGAATGCCTCTAAAATCTCAAGGTAGGACTTCTCCTCTCTTGTTCTCGTGTGTGGTAGTGGGTGGTGCTGGAATTGATCCACGGCCTTGAACCACTGATCCCTCCTTCACTGTTCTTCTTCTTATTTGTGTTGTCTTCATCTCAACATCTCTTACTCGATCCCAAACCTCATTCACATCTTAAACATCACTACACATCCTCTGTGTGAATGCAAAGATGTTTGTGGACATTTCCACACTTATTAGTTTTTTTTAAACCTACATCTGTCTCTCATGCTGAGGTGTGTTTGTAGATGAAGGGGGTTTGTGTCATCAAGTCTGAAGAGAAAACTCCCTCTTAAGCTTCATTAGACAAATTGCTGTGGGGGTAAAAGCAAACAGTGGCAGCTGAACCATCTGAATAAGCTATTGTTTGTGGATAAAAAGAGCCTTGATAGTTCACTGTCTATCACAGAGCCTTCATGCTGTAACACTGGAGCGCCGCGGCAAAGCCAAAAATAAGATATGAAGCAAACAAACAAACAAACAAAAACAGTGGTATGCTTATGTGAAGGCAGATAAGGGGATGTTGCTGTGTTTATACCATGCATCTATACTTTCATGTGTGTTTGCAGGCTGTGACCTTTCAAAATTCACATTTTGTTCAAAATAAATTCAGCTTAAGGGTGTCTGGCGAGATGTCTCTAAGCCTAATGTTCACTCCTCATGGTTTGAACCACTTGGTCCGTGTATGTGTGTTCAAGGGCACACAGGAAGTATAAAGCTTTTTAGGTAGAAAAAAGTCTCTGAGCTGCTAGATAGGAGGCCGCCTAACAGCTTATCAGTCCATTCAAGGGACAATGTACTGATTTCAGTACAACCAGCACCTCTGTGAGTTTTAGTTATGAGTAAAAAAAAAAAAGTCATAGTATATTCACAAGTTTGTATATTTGAGCCAGACAAGCATTTAAAAGCAGCAGCAACTCTTTTAATTATGCATGATTTAGCTGAAAATCCTCATGGCAATGTACAAGAGAAGACTAGCCTCAGCAGCTCATCACATATTACGTTCTCACACTAAACATTACCAGCACAGAAGTGTGCCAGAGAAAACAGAATAAAGAGAGGAATTGTGGAAGAATAGATGAATTGGAATTATTTCCACTATGTAGACTGTACAGCCTGTGTCGCTCCTGCTAGAAGTGAGCATGAACAATACAACTCGACTTTTGAGAAGTTGTGTGTTTCAGTTCATTGTTGTTAACTTCTCCTTATAACAAAATAAAAGTGCAGATACTGCCATACCTTGTACTACTGCACTTCTAATTTTCTGTGCCAGACAGGACTTCTTGGTGAAAATCTAATGTTTCCCTTGTTCAGATGGGCAGCGCCAGCCTGGCACCAGTATTAGGCCCCCCCCCCAGGCACTGGTGTGTTGTCTCTTAAGTGCTCTGGTCATACTGGTGGTACTTTTATATAACTTTGGTGTGGGGTTGTTTTTCATGGTTTGAGCCTGGCCTTTTAGTCGTAACTAAGGGAAACTATCTACACTACATCATAGTGTGCTTCCAAGTTTGTGGCAGCCATTTGGGTAATGCCTTTTCCTGTTTCAGCATGACGGTGGCCCCCATGCACAAAGAAATGGTAGTCTGGTGTGAAAGAACTTGACTGGGCTGTGCATAGTGACACCAACGGTGAACCAGGCCTTATTGCCCAACATCAGAGCATTACATCATTGATGCTCTTGTTGCTGAATGGAAGCCGTTTTCTACACACTCACTGACAAGCTATTTACCAGGATATGAATTTCATAATAGTACACTGACAAGGAACATGCTTGACTCCACAGCTGAGCTGTCCTCAGCTGTGATTGGCAGCAGCTGGAAAAAAGTCTTTCAGCAGAAGCTTCAGTGTAACATACATCTGTTTGTGCTTACACTAAAGCAGGAGAGAGTAATGGGTGGTGCTTTGCTCTTATCGTGGTTATCTCGCCAAACAGGAAGTTAACGTTAGAGAGAAAGGAGGAAGTCTGTTTACCAGATCACATACACAAAGACTTGAGTACACACTTGGGATGAACACACTGCGCTCAGCATGTAAGCCGGTTATACAGTATGTATGAGGTGAATGCAGAGTGTAGTGGATGCACATGTTCAGTTCACCTTCACCAAGTCAGTAAAGCTCATGTAACACCAAAAACGACACAGCCTCACATCTTTTGCCTTTTGTTGCATGGGTGATTTTTTTTTTTCAGTCGCCACCAAATGCACAGTTTACTCCTGTTTGAGTAACGTCTGCTAAAATGAGCGCGCCAGACAAGCATAATGAAGAAGAAAGCATGAGAAGACAGATAAGAGATCTTTTGAGAGTAACAAACATCTAGAATAAGATCAGCCTTATGCTTTGTACATGGCTGTTATCATGCAGTTGGAGCTGTACAGTAGCTCAATTAACCTGTTTGTACTACAGAGGATCCCAGTGTGCATCATGCTGAGATGAAGCATCTTATCTTATGGACCTACACAGTAGGTGACACTTGAGGTTTGGAAATCTCAAGAACCCCTAAGCTTGGATAGTTAAAGCCAATCCACCTATTCAGCATCAGTGCATATACTGTAGCTGCAGCTCTTTAAGTTTTATTGAAAGTAAGACTTTCTCCTGTTATAAGCGGGTTGGTTATTTGTGCAGTTCCTCCTGTGCAGGTTTATCTCAAATCCCCTAAGCTGCTACTACATGATAGTGAATTTGTGGATGTTCTGTGTCAGATGGAGAAAAGGAGCTGTTCTCCTTCTAACAGGCCATGAGAGTGTTGCAGGCTCTGACCTTTCCATTAGTACTGTTGACTAGAACAGTTAGATATAGCAAAGATTGCACATTTCCTCCTGCAGAACCACTGACTGTTAGATATCCACGCTTTGTTATTTCATGTAACTAATATGCTAATTCTGCTCAGTTTCTGTGTTGATGTTTCCTTTGTGTGTCACATCACTGTCAAAAATAAAGGGATCAGATATTTTGAGCTGCTTTCAGTGTCCTAGAATCTTCTAATGGTCTCAGTCTGGTAGACAGTGCTGATTCTGGGAGTCTAGCAGAGGTAAATACAAATACAAATGCAAATATAATTTAAAGCGTTTCTTTTTTATGGAGTTTACACAGTGATCCATGAACACAAATTTCAAATGCTATACTTAGGACTCTTCTTCTTCTTCTCTTCTTAGCCACAGGTTATCACCTCCCTGCCTTTTATGGCTCTTGATTACGTGTTCCTCACACAGTTCTGCAGAACAGAAGCACTACATATAAAATAGGCCAACTATTTGTGATAGCTGGACAGATTAACCTTTGTCTGTATATACGCTTTGTTGATGTTTCACTGTATTTCTGTTTCCTCTCCCCGCGTCTCGCTCCCTCATCCCTCTATTCATCATGTAATTGGGTAGATTATGATTAATGCTAAGCCCTGCAGCTGTTTGCAGGCTGTCAGGATGCTTTTCCACAGATTATAAATTGCTTTATATATTTTAATGCTTGTGTGTTTTTTGTGTGTTCTTCCACCTTTTGATCTCTTAACTGTCAAATTAAACAGCTCCAGACGTCAGTAGCTGATGCTAATATGTTATTTACTGAAATGATGCATTTAACTCATGTGGTTCTAGAAGAAGCTTTATTCAGTGTAACATTGTAACACGTACAATGAAATTATGTTTGGAGCCAAGGGCCCCGGTGCCACTGCGTGCATACGCGCCGCCATCATGGGCAACGTTCAGTTTCTTGCCCAAGGACACTTCAACATGTGGACTGCAGGCACCAAGATTCAAACCTCCAACCTTCCAGTTGGAGAGGACTACTCTACCCACTGCACTGCACCGCTGTCTACTTAAGGAAGCTGATAATGATGAAATGTTTGTATCTCAGCGCTCAGAGAGAAGATTGGAGTCAACACCTGAAGGTGTCAGGAGCTTGTACATTGATGTTTACAACCATAATTATAAAGTTATTAATTAATCAGGTGTGCTTTCATTTTTGAGAAGGTGTTCTCTAATCTGGGCAGCACGGTGGCATGGTGGTTAGCGCTGTCGCCTCACAGCAAGAAGGTTCTGTGTTCTGCTGACCCGGTGCCTTTCTGTGTGGAGTTTACATGTTCTCCTTGTGCCTGCGTGGGTTCTCTCTTCCTCCCACAGTCCAGAAGCATGTATCTTAGGTTGACTGATGACCCTAAATTGCCCGTAGGACTGAGTGTGGTTGTTTGTCTAAGTGTCAGCCCTGTGACAGACTGGCGACCTGTCCAGGGTGGACCCCGCCTCTCGCCCAATGTCAGCTGGGATTGGCTCCAGCCCCCATGTGACCCTGTTCAGGAATAAGCGGTGTAGGTAATGGATGGATGGATGGATGGATGTTCCTCAATCCAGCTAAATCTCTAGGATGGAGCACAACCTAGTGCTCTATTCGTCCACTGTCTCTAGGATTTCTGTCCATGCCAAAACGGTCCTTAGATCTGAGGGGTCCTCTTTGTTTTTTGTGAAAACCCTTTATTGAAGATCATGTGTTGATAAACACTAAATGCACTGCTAGCAGACCAAGGTTATACAGTGATGCAGGAGCTGCCCTGCCAAACAAAAGGATGCATGGATAAGTGCAGAACAAGATGAAAGCTTCACTGTTGGCATGGCAACCATTCCATCATCTGCATAGTGAAGTCTGATGTTTGACGTGTTGATTGTGGATTTTGGGTTACACAGAGAGAGAGAAAGAGGTGAAGAAAACCGGTTTGATCCAGTGCCGCTGTAAGTGCTGTTTATCTTCCTGCCTTTTGTTTTGTTGTGTTTTCAGTTTTATTCTCTCTCCATCTTTAAGAGAGGGCTGCATGACTAAGAGCAGTGATACTCACCGCCAGACCGTTTCTCAGTGTTTCCTGTGATGCTGCTGGAGCTCATCAAACTGTCCTCAAACAAGATCACATTTCTTTCTGTGTACAGTGTGGTTTCATGTGTGCATTTGGCGGTTTGTGTGCATGTGTGTTGCTGTTACGCAAATATGTTGGTCA